GGAGCGGAGCCCCCTCCTGCTCCCCAAAACTCCCCTCCTCAGCCCCACCTTGGAGTCCACACTCCAGTCACATTATGTCGTGGCGCGGCGTCCACCATTCTCTTCAACTGGGTCACGAGGAAAAAAGCGTGACGCCCGCTGGGTCCGAGCATACCCAGGGAGACAGGAAGAGCAGCGAGATGTTGGAGCAACAAGCTGCTATTTCGGAGCCCCCTCCTGCTCCCCAAAACTCCCCTCCTCAGCCCCACCTTGGAGTCCACACTCCAGTCACATTATGTCGTGGCGCGGCGTCCACCATTCTCTTCAACTGGGTCACGAGGAAAAAAGCGTGACGCCCGCTGGGTCCGAGCATACCCAGGGAGACAGGAAGAGCAGCGAGATGTTGGAGCAACAAGCTGCTATTTCACTGGCTTTATCTTGGCAAGAACGTGCCTTCTGCGAGGGGGGAACCTGCCAACCAGGGCTCGTGGCCATGACAAGGGGGCGGAAGGCTCCTAGGCCGAAACACGCACGCCTTTGCCCCCACCAAAGGACGGCGATTAGGAAGGAGCAGCTCAAATGCCTGGCTGAAGAAAGCGCATCCGGCCAGGGCCGGCCTTACCGTGAGGCAAATTGAGGCGGCTGCCTCAGGTGCCAGACTGTGGGCATGGGTGGGCCACTTCGACCCAGAGAATTGAGACCTTGCAAAGTGTTGGCCCAAGCGAGGGGTCACGGGGGCGTCATTTGAGCTGCATCCGGCCGTGCCCAGGAGACTGAAGAGCGCAGATTTCCCCTTGCAAGTAGACAGCACAAGTGACCTGTCATAAGAAGCCATACGCCGGGCCTGTAGCCCAGCGGGCCGGGATGAATGTGTCCATCCGTGGAGTACACAGCCTTGTACAGCCTTGAACCCTGCAAATCCAAACACCAGACGGCCCCTATCGGCCGCAGCCCATGCCGCTGAGCTGGGAATGTAGTGAGGAATACATCACATCAACCTTGATTTCAACTCCACGGGCTATGTCTCTAGATTACCCTCGGCTTCCGAAAGACGATATGCAAATTAGCCGATCCCTTTTTCGGAAGAGATTTTTTTCGGAAAAAAAAAAAGTCTGGACGGGGGTTTTCACGCAGAAAAACCTTTTACCTGCAAATCCAAACACCAGACGGCCCCTATCGGCCGCAGCCCATGCCGCTGAGCTGGGAATGTAGTGAGGAATACATCACATCAACCTTGATTTCAACTCCACGGGCTATGTCTCTAGATTACCCTCGGCTTCCGAAAGACGATATGCAAATTAGGCATGAATTTGCATATCTTCTTTTGAACGCCGAGGATAGTCTAGACCTAGCCCATGAGAAGGCTAAGAGTGGCGTGGGGCCAGTGTGCGCACACCCGGTAAACAACTGCGATAGAACTAGTGTGGGGAGTCCCATGCCTGGTGAGTTTCACCAGGGACCTAGACCTCAGAGGGTGCCCTGGATTCCCCTAGCTGGAGCCACATTGACCGCGGCCCGTGAGGTGAGGTTCAGCGACGGGGCTCCCCGTGGTCGAAGGGACGTAAGCATTCCAAGGGCCTTTTACTCTCAGATGCATGGCTCTGCCGCGCTTGTTGATGTGCCCTCTGAAATATCATCATCAACAACAATGGGATCAGCGCCCATCGGTGTCCAATGCCTTCCTCTCTATTTCCTTCCATCTTTCCCCATCCAGTGCGGAGTGGCTTCCTTTCTGTAGACTAGCTCCGCACCAATCTACTAGATCATCTCCCCATTTTCTGTGGGGTCTGCCTCTCCAATTCAGACCACCCGTTATCCTGAATACCAGGGTCCTCGCTTTTCGCTCCTCATTCATCCTGCAGATCTGCCCGAATAGCTGTAACGTCCATTGTGTAAACCTTCTGCAGTAGGTTTGTGACGTAGTGGGGGTACCTGGCTGGTGTCTATGCTGCTGGCTCTGGGGTAACCCCCATTGGCTGGCGGGGGGCCCCA